TCAAAACATGCTAAAACTGCCTGTTTAAGTTTTGAATTAGGTTCTAAAATAAAGTCATGCAACATGGGAACTTGCAAACTATAGACTGGGGCTCTATCACCTTATTTAGCCTAGACAATAGGCTAAATAGGGTGGCCAGTTCAAAGACACCTAAAGCAGTGGTTCCCAAATTCTAGACCTCCAGCTGTCTGGGCTTCAGCTCCAACAAGCCCCAGATGCTTTTCTCAATGATCAAGGATTCTGGGAGCTGAAATCCAAAACATCTTGAAGGCAAGAGTTTAGGAACCACTCGTCTATATTCTTGAGTTTTCTATGCCAGAACCTAAACTCTAGGGATGCCCCCTGGTTATGTCATTAAGTGCTATACCCTGAATATCAATATGAATTGCACCGCTGGTCATTCAAACACAGAGAGAGATGAAATATTTTCTTGTTTAGAAATTAAGGTAGAAATCTTATCTAAAGGAGCTGTTCCTAGAGGAACATGAAATAAAGTTATTATTCCTTCTAACTTAATAGGGACGTTGGCACCGCTTCTGAAAATATGGGCCCCAATCCCAGATGGGATTTCCTTAGTTCCTTACTGGGGTCATAAACACTTTAGCAACAGTAAAATGTTTCTGAATGCCCTCGATTTACAAAAACCTGTTAGCCACAGTGGACTCTGCAGAAAATTCTTCAGCTGTACTTCACAAAAAGCAAAATCAGCCTGTTTAGCAAGTCTGGCAAATGCTGATTTATTATAACTAAATGTTTGATTTTATACCTACAGTAGAGTCTTGCTTATCCAACATAAATGGGCTGGCAGAAAGTTGGATAAGCAAAAATGTTGGATATTAAGGAGGGATTAAGGAAAAGCCTATTAAATGTCATATTATGTTATAATTTTACAAATTAAGCACCAAAACATCATGTTTTATAGCAAATCATCAGAAAAAGCAGTTTAATACACAGTAACGTTATGTGGTAATTGCTGTATTTACTAATTCAGCACCAAAACATCGCAATGTATTGAAACCACTGTGGATCCAGATGGGAGGCAGACTGCATTAGATAATACAGAACGTTGGATGAGCGGAGGTTGGATAAGCGAGACTCTACTGTATTTTATATACCTATGTATATACCTATATCCCTCGTGTCATATAACCATTTATTGGATGGAAAGAGATTGTGAGTAGAAAAAGTTTAAGGTACCTTTATTCTAGTCTATTTGCCACTAGCTGAAGGTTAATGCAGAGGAGAGTGGGGGATAAATGGTGGTATAAAGCTGGGAGAGAAGGAGGAATCTAATTAAATAAACAGACAAACCCTCGGTCCCCAACGTCCCCAACATATCATCTTCTAGAATAAGCTTGGGTGCCAACTTGCAGAAAATACTTACCTTTTATTACTTTAGTGAACTGCACAGCAATGTATATAAATACAGCTTTAGCTAATCTGCCTGTGCCCAATATAGTACCAGACATAATGAAACCATTAACTTTCTTTACGGCCAACTTAATTTTTCAAAAGTATTAGCTTTTTCCATTGGCAGGAGTTCAAAAAAGATGCATTATGCTGTGAAGATTTTCATTCGTCTCAGTCTCAGTCAAAACTTACAAACACGCAGACAAACAAACAGGATGATTAATTAGGCCAAAGGATTCCATGCTATATTTGAAGTCATAATAAGGAAATGGCTTAACAAAATGGGTCATGCTCATTGCGTGCTGCTAATTGCAGCAGCCAAGCTCTACTCTGCAATTACAGCTGCAAAGTTACACACTTGTAAAGCTTTTTCTGGTTTTCATTAGATTTCATGGGTTTCTCCTATCATTCCGGCATCTGAAGTGATAAGTTTCAGCATAATTTTAACATGGAAGCCACCTTGTACTTTCCACTAAAAATCACACTTAACCAAACCTAGACCGCACAACTTGCACAGCCAATCTCAAATCATTTGTGCATGCAACTACAGTATATACAAAATGGTCAATGACTAGCACCAAAATTGTAACTTCATATATTCAGCTATATAAAGTGTTGCTGGTGTTGCGTGCATTCCAACATTTCCAAGAGTCTGACTTACCCAAGGTCGGTTAAACAGGAATTTGAACCCTGGCACCCCAGTGTCCAAGTCCAATGCTCAAATCAGTACAGTACACTGGCTCTTCATATGGACTGTACTTAAGTATGATATACACATATTACATATAGATGTCATTTCAGTGCATTTGCCTTTAGGACATTTGCTCCTCTATTGCTTGTTAGGATTGTGCTGAATGTTCATCTATTTTATTTCTTAAATCAGAAGTAATTATTTTGTGTCTGAAGAATAAATGAAAACTATTTCTCCAATGCTACATTATGAAAATATTCACCCTTTCTCCTAGTAACTCTTTCTTGTTGTGTCAGTGGGTTTTCTATTCTACATCAGTTTTTTCAGTTAATCACATACCACAAATACCACAAATGTATAGAATGAATATGATAATTAATTCTTTTTAATATGAATTTATGAAAATTGGCACAAAGCACAAATTGAAGAGGCAGAAGCATCATTTTCTTCAAACTGTACTCATTCCCACCTCCCTCCCTCTCTTGCTCTCTTGTTCTTCTCTCTCTTCATGGAGCCAAACATACCAGAAATAAAAACCACACAAAATCAACTAACCCAAAGTTCTGTGATATGGACAGCAATCTCCCAAAGAGGACAAAAGCACGAGGCACAGAGGCTGCTCCCTTGAAGCCATAAAGCCCTGTACTCTCGCACTAGCGCTCCCTATGGTGCTAACTCTTAACTCAAAATGCAGCTCTTATGTCAAAGTGAAAGCCAAGCCAAGCAATGACTCTTAACTCAAAAGGCTCTTAAGTTGGGATGCTCTCAAGTCAAGATTCCACTGTACTTTGTTTCAAAATCTGGTCTTGAATCTTTGTATGCAATCATATTTGTGTTCAGCTAGGGTTGCCACTCTACAATGTGGTACTTTTCATGCAGAAAAACACCTGCAGCATTAAATTATGGCAATGCAGATCAAACAGCTTTTAGTCTCATTTTCTTTTTGAAACTGATGATGTTCATCTCTTTATATAGTGCCATCAAATGTACATTAGTGCTGTACAGTAAAATAACCCGAAGGCGTACAATCTGAAATATATGTATATACACATACATACACAGAAGGAAAGATGAATAAAAAATCACAAAACTGCACAATACAATTGCAGAAACAAATCATCCAAATAAAATGCAAAATAAACCCTACAATAAAATACAAAGCAAGCTGTCCAATACATGTAATCAAAATATACAAGGCTACAAAACAACATCAGACTAAAATCCCAAAGCTTTGGAAATTAAAAGAAGTTTTCAACTGAAGTTTAAAAACAACAAGGGAAGGAGCCATGCCCAAATGTAATAGAATTCACACATTTCTTACATAATGTAGACAGAGAGCACTTGTGGGTTTTTAACTGAATACAGAAACAAGAAAGGGTGATAAGTTTCCCCTGGCCCATACAGCAAAAAGTTTGATGTTACAATGTTATGCATCTCATCAGATGCTAAAGATAAATGATGCCTCTCTCTCTCTGACTTGGTAGACATTTTTGCTCCTTCTGGATATAATCACCAAAATAATACATTGGAGTGTAAAGGGGGGGTCTATATTTAAATGTCACTGAAGTATCCCTTTTTAATTTTTTTTAAATCTTCTTTTTAATCAATCTTACCACTACCATAATTCTATATGGATACCATGCCACTTCAAGGAACAGATCTGCATTTTACACTCTACATATCAAAATAGAAGTCCATCCATCAAGAAGGCATCTTACAAACATATTCTCAGTAGTTTTCACCTTTAAGTCACAGTCTATTTTTAACACTATGCAGCTAGATAAATCGTATTGGCAGGGTTTTCTTGGGTCAAAACCCACTGAATTTCTCATTTGCTCACACATTCATAAACTGAGTCAGTGACAGAAACTAAGTGTCGATGAGCCATTAAAAGATCAGAGGTTATAATCTAACCTTTTCTCACAGTATGGAAAGACATTGTTATCTTGAAACAATATGGTTCAGAATTCTATAGACATACATAACAATCTATGAAAATCCAAATGTTGAGATTTTTTTAAAAATGTCAGTAAATCCTTGGGTTGACAGATGGTGGTGAGCATAGCCATTCTTCATGATTGACTTTGTTGACTAATGCTAGTGGAGGATATTAACCAAAGACACCTAGAAGACCATGGTTGTCCACCTTGACCTAACACAACCACAGTTCCCAAGCATCATACACATGTTTATTTAATTTTTATTCATTTTATGTATTTAAATTTTATTTTTAAAATCCTTCTCCCAAACTTGATCAAAATTGTTTCCTAGGAGCTTTCATACTAGTACATATACTCATGTATAAGTCTAGAAATTTGAGTAAAGAAATTAATACCAAAAATTGAGTTGACTTATCCATGGGCCATGTAAGTACTCTTACCAAAAAAAGTGCCAGCGCCATCTTTGAATAAAATGACAAAAGGCTTCATTTGTCCTAGGAGAACCTAAAATAATCACTGGTCCCCATCCACTCTATGTGGTGATGCTTCTGACCCTTTTGAATGCCAGGAGCAGAAATGGTGGCGGCCAGGGGCAGTTGGCCCCCTGGCATTTCCCCCACTGTGCAGAATAACATTCGATTTAACTACAGCTCTTATCAAAATCCACAACTGAGATCCCAAAACCTGCCCTCAACTTACAATGCAGTTGATTTATAGATTAGTATACATTGTATGTAAAGCTGTATAAATACCATAGTTTTTCAAATATGATCTGAATTTTCTAATAAACCAATATAAACAGGCATGCAGTGAGCTCTAACTTTTAATCACATGGTCATATTAAAGAAGCAATAAGACATGGAATAAAGTGGTACAATATATGCAGGAATAAATTATGTGGAAGATCATTGAGAAAAGGCCACATATAACATGGAGTAGTTAAATGCATGGTACTTTACCCTTTTCCGCAGATTGTATGTCAGAATGAGGTTCCTGGAGAAAGAATGTGAAAAAGCTGTGTAGAATTCCAGCACTTTCTGTAAGGCATCCCTTTTAATCACGTGAAGGTCACAGTAAGTCAAAGCCCTTACGTTAGCACAAGACTGGGCTAGAGTAGTTTCCTTCCAGAAGACATCTCCAAAAACATCTCCTTTGCCTAGGGGAAATAAAAGCAATAATATCCACAATCAAATAAGTGTCAAGACTCAAAGAAGAGACACAACAAAGTATTTCCAAAAAGTGTACTATTTCTATCAAAAGTCCTTTTCTTATTTACTCCCATCATTGTGAACATGCACTCTTAAGTATGTAAGGACATGTTCTCTATGTAAAACATACTCTCTGGCCCATTCCATGCTGCCAGCCCTCTCTTTAAACCAAAACCTCCATTATCATAGGTGTCACGTTGATCTAAGAAATTAATGTTGTCCTTGGAAAAGATAGAACAGAGAGTGGTGGAAAGCATTCAGGCAACACTGATCAAAAGATATGAGTCTGAAACAATTTGGCATGCTGGTCTTGTAACTCTGGTATTATGATAAAACATTATCATTTTACACACTGTTTGCAGACGTGGGTAATGTGTGCTTTGTAGGCAGCTTGTCAGAGATGCAGAATGTTGTATATCATGAGTAACAGAATGCAGTGGTCCTTAAAAGTTAGGACTTTTTCCTCATGTAATCCCAGGCCAGTTTTGAAATCAAAGAATCATAGAGTTGGAAGGGACCACATGCGCAATCTAGTCCTCTGGACACCTTCCAGTTTGTAAAAATCTCTCTTAAATGGTGGTTCCCATAACTGGACACAGTATTGCAGGTGAGGTTGATCAAAGCAGAATAGAGAGGCATCGTTACTTTCCTTGATCTAGATCAGTGGTTCTCAAACTAAGGCCCGGGGGCCAGATACAGTCCTCCAAGGTCATTTACCCGGTCCTCGCTCAGGATCAACCTAAGTCTGAAACTACTTGAAAGCACATAACAACAACAACAATCCTATCTCATCATCCAAAAACAGGCCCACACTCCCCATTGAAATACTAATAAGTTTATATTTGTTAAAATTGTTCTTCATTTTAATTATTATATTGTTTTAAAGTGTTTTTTGCACTACAAATAAGATATGTGCAGTGTGCATAGGAATTCATTCATATTTTTTTTAGAATTATAATCCGGCCCTCCAACAGTTTGAGGGATAATGACCTGAGCCCTCTGTTTAAAAAGTTTGAGAACCCCTGATCTAGACACTATATTCCTTTTGATGCAGCCCAAAATCCCATTGGCTTTTTGGGCTGCTGCATCATATTGTTGGTTCATGATTAACTTGTTGCCCACTAAGACTCTAAGATCTTTTTCACATATTCTATTGTTGAATCAAGCATCACCCATCCTGTATCTTTGCATTTCATTTTTTCTGCCTTGCATTTCTCCTTGTTGAAATTTGATTTGTTTGTTTTGGCCCAGCTTTCTTATGTGTTAAGGTCATTTTGAATTCAGCGGGCTTGATGAATCTCATCAACCAATCAGTTACACCTCCATTATCTTCTTCTCTATGTTTCTCAGAAATGACTGCTGTTTATACTGTATGCACCGTTAGGCAGACATGACTGGGCCTCAGCTACTGGCTCCACCCCCAAGAAAGGGCCTCTCAAGCACACATCCTCAAACTCAAGGCCTTAAGCAGAGGTATTAGTACACTAGATACCAGAACAACCACAAATCCTTAAATACACACACCACTAAACAAACAAGCACTCAGCCTTTAAACGACAACAAACAAACAAAAACTCAGCTTTCAACCACAAGTCAAGGCTCTCCCCAAGCAGAGCTCACCTCCTGCTCCATCTTCAGCCACTGGGCTTCTGTTCCGAGATTAGATAGATACACACACACACACACACACACACATATATATATATGCACAATATATCCAATAATAAATCAGCATAATCATTGGATCATATGAAATCGCATGTTTCCAAAAGATAAGCGTATCTCCATAAGATAAATGTAAGTTCATTTTGAGAATCAACATTGGATTCAATGTGGAAAACGGATTAGCTAGTTAAGACTGGATCTACAAGAAGGTTATGTAGCAGCTCAACTGTGTACTATCCCGCCCTGGTTTGATCCATTTACTGCCACATACACCTAAAATCAGTTTGGAAAGCCACACGGCATCCCTAAAACATAATCACAAAAATACAACTGGGTGTTTCTACTCTGAGCACATGTTCCTCATACTGGTTTATGTCCAGTTACATAACTACAATGGCTGTAGGTTTTGTTGGATTTTTTGTTGTTGTTTGTGTGAATAAGCTATACATGTCAAATAGCCTTTATCTCTTTTCCATTGCTCTAAGCACCCACCTGCACTCTCACTGAATTGGGTACATACCTGGGCAGTTACCTTAGCCCACACATGTGTTGCCTCCATCCGCTCTAATTGTCTGCCTCATTTTTCAAATTAAATTCCCAGAAAAGTAGGTGTATGATTGGCAGCACATGGTGCAATTGTGTACAGGTTCTCTAAGATGTATTTTCTACTGAATTCAATAGTGCTTACTCCCAGAAAAGAGCTTGCCCCGTAAGAACATTCCATCATCCTACTCAAATGGATCTATAAAGGCAAAGAAAGCTTCAAAGAATAAAGTTTCAAAGCTTTGCACATCACCAGAGGACAAACCAAAGAAAAAATGGTGTTGACCTTTCCAGATGTTTGTAGGTGAGCAAGAACCCAGGTGACATATCTGTGGCAACTCCATGCCACTCACCCAACAACCAGTCAAAGCTCACCAGTGTGGCTGCAAACTCCCTCCACTCCTGATTTCACCCCAATTCTAATTTGAGGATCAAAGCACATGTTTTAAAAATCAGTTCTTCCCCAAAATAGCAGTGCAATCTGAATCATCAATAAATGATGATGATGATGATGATGATGATGATGTATTGTCGAAGGCTTTCATGACCGGAATCACTGGGTTGTTTAGGTTTTTTCGGGCTATATGGCCATGTTCTGGAGGCATTCTCTCCTTGCATCTATGGCAAGCATCCTCAGATGCAGGCGAAATGTCAGGAGAGAATGCTTCCAGAACATGGCCATATAGCCCGAAAAAACCTACAACAACCCTATTATTATTATTATTATACACTTTATTTATATTCCAATTTCTGCCCTTCTCCTCTAGGGGACTCATGGAGATTACAGCATTTATATACATATGCAAACATTCAATGTCTTTACGATCATATACCATGAGACACACAAACACATTTCCGGCTTCTGAAGGAAGTGCTCATCTTTGGCTCTGGAGATGTGCTCTCCTCCATTTTGAACCCAAGGAGTCTGTGTTGTCACCTCTTCGTTATGTGGCCAGCAAGACTGCTTGGACCATCTCTTTGCCTTTTCCCGCTGAAGCGTACATATTTATCTACTCACATTTGCATGTTTTTGAAACTGCTAGGTTAGCAGAACTGGAGCTGGCAAATAGGAGCTCACCCCATCTCGCGGATTCAAACTCTCAATGTTCAGGTCAGCAGTTCAGCCAACCTTCAGGTCAGTAGCTCAGCAGCACAAGGGTTTAACTCATTGCGCCACCACAGCTCCTCAAAATCACCCTAAAGCCTTTAGGCAACAAAAAAAGGCTTTTATGTTGGAACGGAACTTTGTGTGTTCCAAAAACACTGAGATTGAAGACAGGGCGCATTATTTCACCAATACAGATAACTCATTCTTAATAAGTAACTGTGCTTAATCCATTCCATTTGAAATGTAGAATGCTGCCAGTATTCTATATATGTTTTAAGGAATCTGAAATAATGTTTCCTGTGTCATTCAGTCAAGAAAATGAACTTTTTTTCAGACTTTTTCAAATGTCACTTTTGTTAGACACTAATATTTAATTTGCTAATTCATTAATTACAGTAATTGGAGCAAAGTAGGATAATTAATTGGATAACAGAAACTCAACTGTCAGTCTTTTGTTAAAACTTCTAAAATAATGTCTTACAACCTAAAGGCATTCAATCTCTTTGTGTTTCCTTTCTTTTCCCGGCTCAAGTTTAATTGGCAAAGTGGATAAAAGTCACCCTGAGATTTTGATCTCCCACCCTTTTTCTTTCCATGTAATTTCATTCTGAATTTAAGTAGCGCACCTTGATCTACAAATTGAAGGTCAGATTGTGCATTAAAAACAAGGCTGGATGTCATTTTAAGAAGATGTTTTTGTCAGTCACTCAAACCTAGCTGAATTCTTTCCCTTTTACTTTCACTTGAAGAAGTGCTACATGGCAGGTGCATTAATCAAAATACTTCCACAGAAACATTGTATTCTTAATGTCTGTAAGAGCAGCTATATAGTCAAATGGTCACTTTCACACAGTAATAGTCTATAATATTTATTTTGCTAAACATCTTAACCATTTAGATAGATACTGAAGGACCGATTGCTCAAATGACATTTTGAAAACATTTAATTCAACTTGTATGCAGTCTATATACAAACACTGCTATAATGACACCTAGAATAAAGTATTATAAACTAAATGAAAAGAGGGGGGGAACGAAGCTATTCATTTTTCTCCAAAATGTATATACCATCCAAGCTAACAAAGATTTGCATAAAACATATGTAGACAGAAACACAGTTTGAATGATGCTCAAAATACTTACTAAATGGGGCATAGACAAAGATGTTATATGTGAATGGTAATTTATTTGCTGATATGCACATAGGTTTTGTCCATATACTCTGCCCTCTAACCACACATTCCCTCCTTTCCCCTTCTACCTCTACCTTCCGCAAGAACCTAAAAACATGGATGTTCTGCTGTGCCTTTGACTAGGCAGTTTCAAAGAATTGGCACAACAATACCCAAGTTCCAGCACTTTAGCATGACCCTCTGCTCTACAATCCTAACATTTTAATGCCCAAGAACATTACTCTCCCATCCCTGCCTACTGAATTTTTCACTTTCCCTTAGCTATATCTAGGAATTTTGCACAAACTCAGAACCCTCTGAATTCAGCACTTTTACTGCCCTGCATGATGTTATGTTTTATAGTGATATGTTTCTATTTGGCTTTGTGTTTATTTTATTTTATTGTGTCATGTTTTTAACTCTGTGCTCTCTGGGCTTCTCCTTTTGTAAGCCGCCCAAG